AGCAAAGCCCTTCTCCATCTCCCGAGCTTTCGATGTCCACCAGAGCTCTCGGTCTTTCCTTAGACTCTTCACTATTTGGCGTTTGAGGATTTGCGTGCGGCGCCCTTACGTAGACAGAAGGACTATTAAGATCCTGAACCGAATACTTTGGCTCAAACGCCTGATCGCCAAGCGGCTGTTTTTGGCGGGAGATGCATGTGCATTTCAATTTTTACAAAACAAACCACCACAAATGTTCCAACCTCTAACCTGGACAGCCAGATGGCTGTGTTGGTCAGACTTCTAACCCAACCTGAGATGAGGGAGTCTGGGTGTCACAAGAACCCCTCCATGTGGCACTTTGGGTCACGAAAGGCGTGATCGGAATCAAGTGGTGTGCCCCAGAAGGAACGGCAGTCTTGAATTGTGGCTCTCCACCGGTGACTGATGGCCACGTGGTCCAACTGGGTCCACGGTTGATTTGTAGTTGGCGGCCGCCAGGTTACGCGGAACGAACGTTTACGTTGAAAGTTCGTACTTGCCAGAAACAGTTCATGATCAGCACACAACTGAAGGAGTCGATCTCCGTTGTCTGGCGAGCATCCTCCGTTGTCTGTGCGGCGAGCATCGACTGGTTTGTTTTGGTTTATGGCTGTGAGACTTCGCCCGTTCGGTCAGCGGAACTGAGAAGTCTTCAGGTGTTCGAAAATCGTTGTCTCAGAACCATAGCTCGTGTGGGTTGGTTTCGGCGTGTCCGTAACGGGGCAGTCAGAAGGCGAGTTTTCGGCTGTGCAACGGGTACTTCTATTGAAGAATGTGTCCAGCACCAGAAAATGCGTTAGTTAGGACGTGTTGCGTAGGCCGAACCATCGTTTGCTGAAGAGAGTACTGTTTTCCATGCCCAACTCAGAATGGCGGAAGCAGAGATGTGGTCAACCCTTGACCTGGCGGAGGGGTATTGAAGAAATCACAAACGCTTGGGGTGCTGTCAGTGCTACTCGCCTTCCAGGATGGGGACTGCGTGATCCTCACTGTGTCTGGTTGGAGACACTACAAGATATAACTGCCAACCGATGTCAGTGGCGTTCTTGTTGTCAGTTTCTATCCAGATTGCCTGAGTGAATGTCTGGATTTGTAGGCACTTCGGAAAGATTGTAGTACGCCATCACTAAATCCTTCCCCGTCCACCTTTATTCTTTTTTTCACAATAAGGCTGTCAATTAAATCATGGTTGTACAGCAGCGAAGCGTCGGTGTAGTACACTGACGTCATGCCATTGATGATGATCATCATCATCTGAGACTGGGTTATAAATCCGCGCATAGTTAAGTAAATTCATGGGGAAGGAGGTAATTGGAGCAAGAATGGACAGAGAACCAGGGTAAATTCAAAGGCCACGTCATTTTCTACTGAGCACAGAGACCTGGGCTACATAGTCGAATTATGATAGACCCTTCGACCGATGGCAATCTCAATCATATCGACCCTGACCAGGCTCGCCAAGTTGCACACTCCTAAAAATTGGCTATTACACCGGACAGTGGCGTCAATGTTATCATCCCCATATGGAAGGAGTCGGTGATGTTCAAGCTAGTAGTCGCTTCTAAAAGAAAATAGCATCAAGGTGTTAGTGTTTTCTGAAAAGTCGAGCGTGGCACCACGACTTGGTTGATACATACATGTGGAGTCATATACACATGCATATCAGTATGCGAGAGCGCCACTACGGGAACTGTTACACGAAACCAACTGATACTGGAATTTAGACACAAAAATTAGCGTATATGAAGGCTCAGATGCCGAATACTTGGCCAGCTATTTTCATCGGGAGAGAAAAACGCTCATTATCACCCACTAACTATGAACTGCCAAAATCGGTCACCAACGAAATAGTCCTCACGTTGTGCAACATATCACACGGCTTCTCAGAGGGAAAATGTATACGTGTGGAGTGCGTTCAGTTATATGCACACCGCCGTCAACTGAGCGATTAGTGACTGTCTTTTCGTATCGATTTTCACTGGCAGAACATTTAGCTGTCAACACCAAAAAAGTACAGAGACTCAGTCAATTCCGCAACGCCTTCATAGCACTGCACAAGCCTCTTGATATTTCACTTGAGGCGAACCTCGAACACGATATGTCGGCCGCAAAACTCATGGGATCGTTCGTGCGTTGAAATGAAAGTATCACTAATGGTGTAGAGCACTTTGAGTCGGTCACAGCGGGCATCGAAGTACTAGTGGCAGATAACACACTTCATACAGCTTCAACACATCGGCGAACATGAAATCACGTGATGGTGGAGCTCTCGAGGTCGATTAGTGTGGTACGAAAATATGAAATTTGTTGCAGAATTCTGAGGTGGTATTGTTCGCTGTTTCTGACGTCTAGGTATTCGTCTTATGCGGCACACTGGTGATATCCTTGGAACGTTTTGCCAATACGACAGGAACGACCGCAGTGATAAGGTTTCCGCACAATTCAATCCGGAAATAGCACGACTGAACATCGGTAAGTCAGTATCAATAACCATCTGCAACCGTCGGTTTGCTGACCATCGAAACAAAGGTGGTTAAGAATGAACTTTTTACCAACAGAATCTAGTTACATCCCCCGAGTTATCTGTGCCCAGCAGGTAATGTTCTTACAATTTAGCAAAAGCTTCCAGTACTCATCGTACAGATTTCAAGTGGTGCTCGGTACCTTCGACCAACTTTTAGTAGAACGACGATTAGGTGATCGTTAGTTGGTTACATGCATCAACCCCATGACAGGATAATGTATGCCAATATACTTTATTGCCACTGCAGTTGAAGCGACAGAAGGCATGGACGGTAGAGCTCTGGAATCCTCGCAGCTGAATCTCTTGTCGTGATTCTGACATTCTGCTTGATGACATTCAGTATGTGATAACTTTTGAACGACAAACGTTAGAAAAACACTTCCTGGTGACAGGCGGAGACAAGCTTATTTAAGTTCGAAGAAGCTATATGGACAAATGAGCCGATCTGGATAACCACTTTCCAGAACAACGAATTAGGAGTTCCTGTTATTTACGCAACTCTCCAAAAGTGCGAAAAATCCCAGGTTGAAAGAAAATATTCCCAACAAACAGCGTTTACGAACCACAGACGAAGCCTTGTAAAGTGGATGTATTGACCACCTCCGGCTTGGCTTTCGGTAGGCCACGCGTTTTCGATTTCTGTATAAGAATGCTGAGAAGCTGTTTGGCTCCCAAAGGTCAGATGAATTAGGGTATTTGTTGCCGGTTTGTATAATTAACTTTTGTATATATTGTATGTCGCATTGCGTATTGTATTGTCTTTCCGAAGTTGGAACTATTTGCGTCTTTCTTAGCCCTGACAACACAACACAGTGTTGAGGGATGGACAGCCGATGATAACCGGAAACACCTCAGTGATTAGGGTACCAGGCCATTGATCACAAGGTCCGTTATTTGGAACCAACACTAACTTTCCGACCACTGCTGTCCAGGTTCGCTTAGCCTGCCAGTATGTCAATGCTCGCGCTTCTCCCGAGTTGCACGTCAGCCATACACCGAAACACTGCACAGCTGAACGATTAGTCCCACAGGGTCGTCACTAGGCATGAAAATACCAGCACCTCGCATGTTGGTAGCGCGAGGGCCAGAGGTGCCCCCTCGAAAGAACCTGGTGAGGTTCCATTCACTTATCCTTAGATTCTAAGCAATCAAATGGGTGTTTCGTTCCTTAGCACATAATGGTAGCAGAAATGTCCTTTATGGGGCAAAAGTGGTAGAAATCTGCGTTGAACTTATCAGGAAGGTCAGCTTCCTGAAAGCAACCACTGAATGCCCGGAAGCTACGGAGACTCTCAGCTCCGCTGGGTGTTGACCAGACAGACAACGCCCCCTCAATATGCAGCGCGTCACAGCCTTGCATCAAACCCAGACAGCGCGAGTCAGCGTTGATCAAGGACAGAAAACGCCTCCGCAATATGCAGCACGTCGCTGCCTCGTACCAAAGCCAGGCCGCGTGCGTCAGCATTGGACCAAGTTCAGACGGTGTCCTTCCAATAAAAAGCTTGAGGCTGTTGTACTTTTCGCACTAGCACGCACTCGCGCTCTCGCACCCACTTTGTTGGGATATAGCTATTGTGTTCCCTTCCGTGAGTCTTTTTCTCTCCGACACCAGGCACCGGAGCGGGTCAGCAGCAGATACCACAGGCCGACGAATCAGCAGATATAACATCCACACTCGATGTGGATGAAAACCAGTAACGCAGTCAACGAACTTTCAACTTAGAGTAACGCTTAGTGTCACGCTCTCCGTTACACGAGGTAGACCCTTCCCAAATGTACGAACGGACATCCGAGCAAAGGATCTCCTCAAATGACGAAGAAACTAAATAGAGTGGTAGAAGAGGATACAAGTTTAAGACAAGGTTACCTAGTAGGCGGGGTTCTATGGCTAAGTTCCTATGTGACTATCCACTGGAATAGAATAAATAATATAAGGATTCAGTGGCGGACGGAACTGCTGTCACGCGTATTAAGTACGATGAAACAGTTGGTTGTCACAACCAGGGGGCAAGATGACTAACCTTTCTCGAGTGCTTCTGGTTCATTTTGTTTCCAATGTGTGGCGACTTCGTTATCCAACGGATCATCTGGATTGGGTGCACTCAAAAGGGCTTGGATGGACAACAACACCGTTCTAATTTGAAGGGCAGGGCTCCATTTATCTGAAAGAAAAGAAAAACAACGCCGCTTAGGAGGCTGGGTGTATTCAAATAAGATAACAGAATATCAGTAGCAATATTCTGGTGCTAAACTTTACTAAAGAGACCAGAATTCCGCTAAGTGCATCCTGTGTATGCAGTTGTTCTCCAGATACACAGTCTGTACAGCGGTCGTTTAACTGCACAAAACTGGAATGATTTACAAAGAGAACTTCTGAAGCGTGTGTTGGTGTGAGCAGTTGTAAAAAAATTCCTCCAAAAGCGTAGTGGAGAGGGTATGTTCAATCATGTGAAAAATGCTTGGAACCGATTGAGTAGTCATCGTTTCCGGAAACGTTTGGTGACAATCGGTAGATTTATTGCTGGGTAACGTTTCGCTTTTGACACAAAAACTTAGGCCAAGTGACTAGGTTACGAGGTTGGTCGAGATTTAAGGCGGAAGGAGAACCAATTAGCCAAGTCAAAGTAAATCTCTGTTGGGTGTCGGCCGAAGGATTTTTGTGTATTAGGGTGGGCGACCAAGTGTTGGGTCGATGGGGAAACCTGCAGGGGTTGCGGTCCAGCCTAGGGTCCAGTTATTCTAGTCCGGTCAAAAGCGAAAGGTTGTCCAGCAATAAATCTACCGATTGTTACCAAACCTTTCCGAAAATGGTGGAGAAGGTTTATTCGCCCGATAATAGTCTATGTGCCCAAAGCTATCCTTGACATCCCCAGTCATCGAAGATGAACTGGGTTGGCATTTGTCAAAAGACTGGTCATTATTAGGGTTCGGTTTTCATTCGTGAACCAATAACTCACTTATTTGAGCATATCTGGGCATAATTCATACGATTACGTGGGTCCGAACAGTCTTACCGTATTTGAGTAAGATTATTTTAAGGAATCGACACTAAGTAACTCGTCTCATTTCAAATATGCCTAAAGTTCACCGACTCTCTTCGGGATAAAACGCTCCACAATCTACTACAATCTCCTAAAAAACAACCTCAACATAAACTATTTCGTTTCCACCCGAAGCAGATAAGGCAGTCTAATTAACGGAAACGCCTTCAAGGCAATGTTTCGCCAAATACCGCATGGATTTTCTAGAGAATAAGTGACCGAAAATTGTCCGGGCAAAATACGGGCCGATGAGTCGTTCAAAAGCATAGATGTGGGGCATTTAACTATACTGCTAGCGGTGAACAGTTCCGTTCATCAAATACAGGCACAATGCACTGGGTCTAGGCGGTCTTGCAGCGACGAACTATCGTACACTGACGTGCTGCCGATGACGGTGAGGAAGAACCTCATTCCAGAGCACGTTCTAGACACATCCACCGTGATATTCTGCGACGATTCGCGCATACGCCTTTTAAGTTGCAACGTGGGATAGGCTAGCTTATAACTACAATTCCAGGTTATAGGATGCGATGGTATATCGCTCTGATTTGTCTTACCACCGTTTTTTGTATCACTAATTGCCTTGTGAAAGACCAACGCTGTTAGAGTTGCGCTCAAATCATATGTTGCCCACGATGACAAGCCGACGCATTCGCATTGAGGTCACGTAATGCAGTGCCGCTGCTTGAGGATGGATGAAAAAGGGTAAGGTGTTCAACGCAGAGACAGAGGCAGGTTCCATGGTATGCAAATCACTGGGCTGATAAGGATGAACTCTGAGGAGCGTAGGAAAGCTTTGAGCAAACAGGACGACAAATTAGCTGCAGACTTTAACACCTACAATTTAAAATTGGTACATAGCATTCACGGGACCCCTAGTGTAAACCACTGACCTAACTCGAGCTAACAAATGAATCACGCGTCCACTATGGCCTAAAGTACTTCTATGTTGCAGAATGACGCTAAAGTCTTCCCTTCAACTAATCATAGAGGGGAGGCAGATTTCGTTAGGAGATAGTTTTGTCTTCTGCAACAACGGTGGTTCTGCCTCCCCATAGAGCGTCACCATTTTCATTTGACGCCATCTGGGAAACGTAAACCTATTTGTATGTATCGAATAGTTTGATCTGACTGATCACACACCCAAGGAGATATTGATAAGCACGTTTGGTCAGTTTCGTAGAATCATCATTGTGGTCCAAATGGAACAGCCAATCCAATCAATAGCTGCAATTTCTCGTCACTCCCGTTCATACTGACCATTCATTGTTCTTCTCAAACATCAAACGATAAACGTGAGTGTTATTATTTCTCACGGATAAACATGGGACTGAAAACCGTCTGGATGGACTGATTCCGTCAGCATACGCTACCAAGGGTTTCACCGTATAAGCATAGCACTGGAAAACATTGTTCAAACTAGCCAGCCAACTTTTTCCGGTTGAAATTGAGTCTGCACAGAAATAGATAAAGGAGATAAAGTTGGTAACGTTTACAAGGCATCCGACAAAGTTGACAAGGTGGCGAGGAGAGGGTGACATCCAGGACCATAAAACTTCGCCGTCGAGGCAAATATGATCCCTTCAGAAGAGTGCCCTTCACCAAAGGCCAGTGTACATGTCACAATGTGTACACATAAGAGTTAGGTAGCACATCGAACGCGAAGGGTACCCAAGTATCTCACATAAGTTACTCATGACGAAAAACACTTTCCGAGTGCAACGAACATTTAAAAGACCGTTTGAGTGGCCCTTGTCGCGGAGTACTTTCAATCCTTTCGTAATATGTACTTCGGGATGAAGAAAGTCAAACCTTCCTGATGGTATACTCGGTGACGGCAAAAATAAATGAGATTTCGACTCCATCATCACACTATGGAGCAGAATGGTGGACAATAAGTAAAGGATATAAAAACGAATTCGCTGTCACTTTGGAGCTCACTGCTGGCATTAGGGGGAATGTTTTCGCAGGACCTGCAGCGAGTGAACGCTTTAGATATCTACCTCATGTAGATGGGTTTTCGCTATGGCTTCACAACGTAGAACAACGCTCATGATGGCAATGTTGCGGAATATAGGTAACTCGGGTGCGCTGCTTAGTTGCTGGTCTGTTCGCCGAGTTGGGCAGTTGGGTTGCAAACGTTTCATCATCAACCGAGATGGCATCGTCAGTGCGGGGTTGAGTGGTTGATCCACCCATACACGACTGCTGACTTCTACGGCATTGAATAGCTCGTCAACGCACGGCCTTAACATCAAGATCAACATAGTTAACATAGAACTAATATCGGTATCTGTGTGCGGAAAATTCTAGAAACCAATCATTCCAGGAAAGCATCAATGAATTTTAGGCGGTACTAATCCAGGTTTTAACGTCATCGCTTCGAATTTCTATCCACAAAGAAGAGGGAAGATATGAGCTCAAGGTGATTGGATGTAGAGGGTTTTTCTAGTACGTACAATCAAACAACACCAACTCACCGCAAGACAGGGAGACTCAACCATAAAATACCATCAAATATGACTTATACTGTGAACTTCTGTTACGACATCGTGCACGTCATCCATCACTGTCAATACCATCAAATATGACTTATACTGTGAACTTCTGTTACGACATCGTGCACGTCATCATCATCATCACTGTCAGCTGTAATAACCACCTACTTGTAGTACAGTGGTTGTAGCTGCAACAGCTTCGTTCACCGGAATGTACCACTGGCGCGTTGCTGTCAGTGGTGATGATGACCAAGCTATCTGGATCGCCACGATAGCAGTTTATAACATTCGCTGAATGTTTTAAATCCATAAGTGATGCAACTCTTCTCACTTGAGAATGTGCTTCACCTTCATTTCAAACTCGAATCGCCTCAAAACAAAGGATATGCACAACGCTGAAATGCGAGTTGAAAGACATTTTCAAAGTAGCAACATTCGTCATCTGACGACAGCTGGCCCTCAACTTCTGTTTTATTTTGCCAAGCGGGTTATGGGTGATTACTCCACTTTTTGGGACCTTGTGCGATAAGAATCCGTTTACCCCCTTTTCCATCGACAATTCATCTTCTACTTGTCGGTGCCACGGTAGGCACTTCATCTACCACCTAAGGGAGAGAATTAGGTGTCCTTAAATGGGATCAACTCAGCTCTTGATTCGTGCATAACTCATCTATGTTTATCACTTACGATCGAGAATGCTGAAGTAATGAACACAATGTGATCACACCTAAAGCCCACGAGTCATGAGCTACATCCCAGGATAGCGAGGCTACGGATGCCGCAATGTGGATGACGTCAAGCTAGTTATTACTAGTTGAAACGGCAATCCTAAGCTGAAGATGGAGCGGGCAGCAATCTCTTATGGGCCCCCTTAAGAAACACAGATTCGATAAAGCGTTCATTCCCTACAACATTACCTTCAAACGACATCGCACATACACAAGTGAACAAATTCAAAAGGACTACGTGTTCAATTTGGCGCACAATACATCATTGTGTTCTCTGTTTAGTGTACGGGAACGATGGCCTCCACCTCAGGGATGATTCAAACAGAATAGGTTCGGCACTCTACCCCAAAACAGTGGCAGACGAATAGTCGAAACCAGTGAAAAACTGAATTCAATTGACAAGCAGTGACTCTATTTCGAGGCACAGTGACCGCATGTAGGCTGATATGTTGAGAATTTCGAAAGAGAGACAACTGAGGAGCCGGGTAACAGTTTTAGCCTGCAAAAGTCTCAGTCGATTTCTCCGGTCATGGCGCTTGAGTTAGCTTGAACAAACCAGCTTACCTTTTAATATATCAAGGCAAATACGGCCAAGTTTGTCCACATTCGGGTGATAGAGTTTGGTGGTGAACCTAACTTTAGGTGCCGTCATTGGATAATCCTCGGGTAAGAATAATTCAAGGTTGAATATGCCACCATCGTATGCACTGTCTGAAGGTCCTTTGATTGAGACGAGGAAGTATCTTGCGTTATCTTCGCTTGGAAATGCAGTTATTCCATCGCATGGTTCCCGAAGTAGTTTTTGAGTTTCCTGAGTAGCTAAGAAATTACCGCCACAAATGACCTACCTTAATGATTCGAGGGGGCAGGCCGCCGGACATATTGCACCTGATTCGGGTAATGAGCACAGGAACGCTGAATTTATATAAAAAGCAGTGTCTAGAAGGTACTGGAAGTAATATTGCATGGAAAGGCATATCAACGATTTTGGCATCGCAGTGCTCTAAAGCTACTCTGTACAAAGATTCCAGAAGGCTCCACGTGAAAGGTTCACATAAATTTATTGTACATCAGAGCTGACCAACGTTTTGCTTGCCACGTGATGTATTGCACTTTGCACGCACGCTGGCATTGTTAGCCATTAATGCGGATGTTTCCAATTAAAGTCGCCCACAGCTGATCCATTCAAATCCCTCATTTTCATATGCAGCCTCCAGTCTCCCAGATTCGCACACATACGGACGCGTCTGCTCAACCGACTCGAGCAAGATCCTTTGTTGACGCTCAACGCTATTGCTAACAAGTACCAACGGTTGACCAATCTACAGCATGACACCACTTTGGTCCAATCTGGGGGCCAAGGTGGTTCCGAAGTTCATGCGGTTCGCCAGGCCTCTAAACCCTCTGGTTCTTAGATGTCTGGTCCGTCACGTTCTGGAATGACCCAATCCAGTCAGCAGCGTATCCAAAGTAAGAGACACTCATCCGCGAGCTGACGCTACGAGGCTTGACACTTCGTCAGACTGTCCCCTTACAAACAGCACCGGTGTCGACAATGCAAGACCGCGAGTCGCAGAGACGGAAGCTGTCGGCCAACTCATCCAGTACACCCCACGGCGCCTCCAGGCAGCAAGCACGCCTCCTGAATTCCAAAGCGGTGGGCTCCGCCAAGAGTCTGCTGGTAATGTTTCAAGTCAGTGCCCCCATCTCACCGGAAATCCCTCACTGTCTTGGTTACCCGCCGTCCGGTCCGTCTGCAGTTGGACACCACTTCGGACATCATTATTATACATCGGGTAAGGCTTGAGACACGTTTCGGTGAACTTCAGTCCGACAGCCCTCCAGAACTGCCAACAGCGCCTGTGGTGGTGAGCTGTGGTTTTTCGGGGAATCGCAATGCTCCGTCTCATTCAAGGGGACGAAATTCATTGGGTTTTGTTACGTAATCTCCGCCAAATCGAATCTTTTAGGTTTTGCCTGGTTCGACCGTCTTGGTTTAGCAGATTTCCCAATCAGTTCCGTCTGCAATGTGATCGTTTTTCCCGCTGCAGCTGAAGACCAGTTGGATGATATTATTCGGCGCTTTGCTAAGGTATTCCAGCATGGCCTCGATCACTGTCCCGCCACACAAGCAACCTTTCGACTTCAATCGGACACAGAACTTCAGCAGCTCGAGCAACAAGACATCCTCTCTCCAGTATCGTACTCCACGTGGGCAGTCGCAATGGCCATTGTAAGGAAACCGAATGGGCCAATCCGAATTCCTGTTGACTTCTCAACTGGCCTCAACGCAGCTCTCGAACAGCACCACTACCCACTGCCGGTGCACGATGATTTTTCACCAGTATGAACGGCGGCAGTTGTTTCGTCAAACTCGACCTGACTGACGCATACATACAGATTGAATTTGCGCCGATGTCCCGATCTCTAGTTACCATCAACACGCAAAGGAGCCTCTTCGAATACCACTGTCTACCATTTGGCGTAAGGACAGCCCCTGAGATCCTCCATCAGCTGATGAACACAACTATTCCTGGTATTCCAGGTGTGGCCGCATAATTGTACGATGTGCTGATTGTTGTCTGCTCTCCCGATAAACTATGCACCAACTCATCTAGGACAACGTCCTCTGTCTCCTTCCTGAAAAGTGTCAGTTCTTCATGACGGATGTTAAGTATCTTAGGTTTATCTTCGATGCCCCCGGTTGACACCCTGATGCCGATAACACACGAGCGATTCAACAGATGCCGGCCCCAAGGACGTTACCAAGCTCCGCTCCTTCTTGAGTCTCACCAGCTATTATTCTGAATTCTTGCCTGCAGTGCACAGTGTCCGGCCGCCTCTTAATTGCCTCCTGAAAAGGACATGCCTTGGGTATGGTCAGAAGAATGTGCAACTGTTCTCTGCCAGCTCAAATCCATGCTCAGCTGCGAACTGCTACTGACGCACTAAGATACCAAACTGCCGATTGTCGTGGCAGCCGATTCCTGTGTTTGCGGTGTCGCTGCTGTCATCCTTCATGTATTCCTGGAGGTAACTGAGAGGACAATCACGCAAGCACCAAAGCTATTGTCAAACTGAGAAAGAGGCGTGGGCGCTAAGCTTTTCCGTCCATCGCTTCCACAAGATGATATACGGCCGCCAATTCACTCTTTCGACCAACCTTAAACCTCTACTTTAGCTCAAAATCTGGTGTGCCCGTTTATCCGGCGAATCGTCTGCAACGTTGGGCGCTCACTCTACTTGGTCATGATTTCGACATCCAGAAAACTTCGGCCCACTCTCACGTCTGATCGGCAAATATACTGCCCAAGAAGAGGACTCCGAATTCACTGCTCTGTCAATTGATGACGCAGATCAACAACTGCTCCAAACAGTCCGTGTCTTACCGGTGGCTGTGCCGGATATTCAGCGTGGAACTTCGGCCGATCAGACACTGCAACAGACGATCCATTTTCTCAGGACATGTTGGTTAACAAAATCCCTGGACGACGATCTCCAAACCCTGTTTTATCGTCGATATGCATTATCTATACTTGATGACTGCTTGATGTTTGGAGAACGTGTTGTGGTGCCACGTTCCTTATGCCTTCGGGTCATGAAGCAGATCCGTTCAGGACATCCTGGGATAAACCGGATGAAAGTCATCACCCGTAGTTACGCTTACTGGCCGCACGTGCATTGCGATATCTCAGACTATGTCGAAGGCTGCTCGCAATATCAACAAGGCGCAAGAAATCCCCACGCTTGCCGCCTGCTGTCTGGCCTCGACCCGAACGACTCTGACCACGAGTTCATGTCGACTACGGTGACCCTACTGATGGTTTAACCTACGTTATCCTTCTCAACGATACCTCCAAGTGGCAAGAAGTTGTGCCAGTTGTCCCGCCAGTAAGAACCAACGCCCTGCGAGTTTTGTCTCAGATCTTCAGTCGGCATGGCCTGCCGGAGACTTTAGTGTCGGACGATCGCAGGTCAGCTTTAGCTTCTTACAAGAGTTCCGGATGAAAAATACCATCCCGCAAGTCCGTTTGTCACCGTACAGGCCGCAGCCAAACGATCAGACAGAACGTTTTTCGATACGTTCAAGCGGTCAGTACTCAAATCTCGAGAGGAGGGGACATCTATCGAAGTTCTCCAGAGATTCTTCTGATCCACCAGACCACTTCCAGTGACTCTTTGGAAGATCGGAAATCACCTGCTGCAGCAATCATGGGCCGAAACTTGCGGACTATCAATCCGGTCATGTCTACGACACCGATCTCAGCCCACAAAGAACACAAAGATGGCCAAATCCGAAGTGGGTGCTGGAGACTATCTGCCAAGGCACGACCCCTGTATACAGAGCTACGTCTTACGAAGACGCGAGAGTGCAATGTATGGCGTCTGCGTTCGTCAAGATATCTGAAAGCGACACACGAACCAACTCTGTCCACGCGATCTTTCAAAACAGCCAGCGCGCCCCAGCACCATACCACCGACATTATTCTCGACACTTTTGAACCAATTCACAAGCGGAGCACCAGGCATCTCGCAGGGTTGCAGACAGTGCCTTCCAGTACGAGTTAACATGATAAGACGTCTGGTCTGAAAGGGACTTCAGTAGGTGGTTGTAATAGACTTATTTCACATCGGGATATGATAAATTCCCAATGACTAGGTGAGGTGTGAACACATTACGCGCTCCTGCAAATTGTAACGAGAGGCAACAAAGGTAAGTGTCGAATCCGAATCCACATGGATAAATCAGACCAAGTGAGAGCCAGTAATTGACGGACGCTACCTATAGCTAATCATGATGTGGTCTATCTGTGTTGGAGGTTGGCTCGCATCCGGGGGCACCATGTGGTCAAAACCCTCAAAAACGATCACTGCACAGAAAGTCTGTGGTCAGCACATAACTGCGGCACGCGTTCGCCGTCGTCCATCTGCCTCGACTCCACTCAAGGATGAACAGCTTAGGCAGTGTCAAGTCTACCTACATACAAATTTATATCGCAGGTGATCATAACAATATCTGTACTCTTAGCCAGCGGCAACAATGCACTCAAAGCCGCGTAAAATCTGTCTTCGAGAGTATCAGAGCTACAGCATGTAGGGGCGTGAGTGGATACGATGAACAGACAGCGATTACAGGCGTATTTACAAGATACTCTCGCAGACGCTGCCAAAATAACCGCGAAGAGATTACCGTGTCAAACAACCATTCAGTCAGAGATACTTCAACTCGGCCACTTAGAGCAGGGCCAACCCCAACAGAACCAGCGGCGTGATTCTGGATCACTAGAAGTGCGCCACCGGAGTCAAGTGGAAGCTAGTGGGGAGGTCAGTTCAGCACCCATATTTCGGCCTAGAATCGAGATGGCTCAGTGGTTACGGTGAAAATTTACTGACCGAAAGGTCTGTGGTCCGAACCCAACCTCTGCCTCTCGACTTCCCCTGCCCAGGCTTGGGCAACCTGGCAGTACACCAGCCCTCGTGCTTCCTTCTGGTGGTATGACAGTTAGGCACCGAAAGGATGCTACGGTTGAAGGATTGTTTCGAGAATCCTCGTTTCATACAGCACATATCAATTGAGAGCGTGTCCAGCGTACACGCAAGAGCACTCTGTTGTGAAGCTTGAGGGCTGCCGGTTGAACTGAGCGTCGGAGTTTGGAGGATAGTTCCGAAGTGTCTCCGACCGTGGCGGACAAACCAACCGTAGATATTGCAGCGGCGGCGGGTGGCAGACGGGTCTACCTATCCCTAGGAATAAGCATACGGCAATGTCACTGGCAACGGCGAGAGGAGAGTAAGAGTGAATATATGAAAGAGAAGGAAGACGATCGGCAGCCGCAGCCTGTTTTCATTTACGGGCCTTGTTGTATGAGGAAGTAAGGCAACCCGGCTGATGGCATCACGCGACGGCCGATGTGGCACACGATTTATGTCTGTATGTGGGTTTGGGTACTGCCAGGGCGCCGACACCTGGACAGGGAGACGACTAGGGTCCTCAACCAAAGCGTTTGGCTCAAAAGCCTAACCGCAAAGCACTAGAGGTTGGCATCAAGGAAGTCTACATTTTTAAAGAGCAATTCGTCACGTATGTTTCAACCCCAACCTGAATAACTAGGAGACTGTATTGGTCAGACGTCTATTTACCAATCAATCTAGTATGACAGACTCTGTGTCACACGTACACCCGCCAGTACAGCTCGATGGGCTATGTAGATACACAATCCATCATATCGTGATAAGGTAAAGTCTCTTCGTGATGGTCTCAGAGATTCGTCTACTAGCCTAAGCTGTCACACCACAATGGGAACTAAAACAAATTCCTGGATGAGCAAGAAGCACCGCAAGTATCTCCTCTTGCGGAGTGGCGTGTTAGGTGACTGCACGTCCAGAAGCATGATGTTACACACTGTGGGTGCAA